GTATGGTTAATTTGATAAACACACACAATATCACACAAATAACACATATCATACATAAATGTTCACAACAAGCATAACACTTACACTAGCCATCACACACGCACACACACATACAACACACACATACACACACACACACACACACACACACACACACACACACACACACACACTACACACACACACACAACCACACACACACACACACACACACACACACACACACACACACACACATGAGCACAGCCAAACTATATAAAACAGAAGATAAGAAGGATGGAAAAATACAGTTGGAGTAATATAGATGTATTAATCTCGAAGACAGTATCTGAGAGACGTTATAGATAAAGAAAAAAATTATATATATTTTGTCTAATTGACAATGAGCCACAAAATTCTATTTTAAACAAGGTTGTGACTGATGGGAACAACTCAGTGTGGAGAAGAGAGAGAGAGAGAGAGAGAGAGGAGGCGAGAAAGGAAGAGTAGCAATACTGGCAAGAGGGGACTGACAACCCAGAGGGGACAGACAGCCCAGAGGGGACTGAAAACCCAGAGGGGACTGACAGCCCAGAGGGGACTGACAACTCAGAGGGGACTGACAACCCAGAGGGGACTGACAACCCAGAGGGGACTGACAACCCAGAGGGGACTGACAACCCAGAGGGGACTGACAACCCAGAGGGGACTGACAACCCAGAGGGGACTGACAACACGAATAATACTCGAAATTTTAAGTGACAATTATGCAAAGAATAGATGAAGAACTCATAATAATTAATGTGTATAACTTACCATTAATAATAGTTGAAAGAATGAGAGAGATTTTGTGAAGGTAAATAACAGGTTATAGAATATACTAAGAGAATTATTGAAGAAGTGTGACAGTGAAAAAGAAAAAAAATTGTAATTGGGGATTTTATTTATTAAAAAAAGTAAATTGGGCAACTTTTATGTATTGTTGAGTTGTGTGACCCTTGTGGGTTTAGCACTTAGTTTTGATTGTAATATTAATGATAATAATTATTATGAATTGTCATATAATGACGTTGTTTAATTCATCATATAATGACGTTGATTCATCGTCATATAATGACGTCGATTCATCGTCATATAATGACGTCGATTCATCGTCATATAATGACGTTAATTCAGTCATATAATGACGTTGTTTAATTCATCATATAATGACGTTGATTCATTGTCATATAATGACGTTAATTCAGTCATATAATGACGTTGTTTAATTCATCATATAATGACGTTGATTCATCGTCATATAATGACGTCGATTCATCGTCATATAATGACGTTAATTCAGTCATATAATGACGTTGTTTAATTCATCATATAATGACTTTGTTTAATTCGTCATATAATGACTTTGTTTAATTCGTCATATAATGACGTTTAATTCATCATTGTATAATAATGTTATCTAATTCATCATATAATGCCGTTAAAACATCTATTAATGACGTTAAATCATCGTCATATAATGACTTTTTTTATTCGTCATATAATGACATTACACAATTGAAGTAAAGTGGAGTAAGAGGAGACAAGAGAACGTCAGTACCAGACATTGTATTGAGCAGAACAGGAAGAACTGGTGGGCAGAACCTATCCTCTTCCTCTGGAAATATTATATGCTGTTTCATATGGCTTTAGGGGGAAGGGAAGTAAACGAATAAGAACCGGAACTATATTAAAAGATAGGAGAAAATGAGGTCAGACAGTATATTAGAGATACTGAATGAGATTTAATATTACAAGGGAGGGATTTAAATAATTTGTATAAAATAAGGAGCAAAAGGGCACAATACCGTGACTGGAACAATACACAAATAACCCGCACATAGGAGAGAGGAGCTTACCACGACGTTTCGGTCCCACTTGGACCGTTAACAAAGTCACACTAACACAAAAGAGTGAAGGAACCGATATATATATTGGCTCCCTCACTCTTTTGTGTTTATGTGACGTGTAAATTGTCCAAGTGGGAGCGAAACGACGTCGTAAGCTCCTCTCCCCTATGTGCGGGTTATTTGTGTATTTGTATAAAATGTTATGTAACATACGTTAAAAGGGAATCTGTTTAAAAGAAAGAAATATAAGAGAAAATGATAAAGGTTGAGTGGAAGGTGGTGGAGAGTTGTGAGAAAACAAACTAACCAACTGAAACTGTTATAGGAAACTGGCCAAGTGAAGAAACTTACCACAGACTGAAACAGAAATAAATATACAAATGTACCAAGGGAAGAAGAAGGAATTTTTGGGAAATGAAATAATGGGTAAGAGGAAGGGAATAGCAATTTTTTTATTAAAGTTTGTAAAAAAGTAAACTGAATGTTAAAGACAATATAGAGAGAATAAATGAAATGTGTGAGACGTGAAGGAGAAAATTTCAGAGTTAACAAAAGGAGATAATGGAAGAAATTTAAATAAATAAAGAGGAATAATATACTAATAACCCGCACATAGGAGAATGAAACTTCTGGCGACGTTTTGGTCCAACTTGGACCATTAAGAGAGTTTCACTTTTCCATGTGCGGGTTATTTGTATGTTCCAATCACGTTACTGCGCCTTTTTGTTCTTTATAAGTAAAGAGGAAGTTAACAAATTATTTTTGAATATTGACAAAAAGCTAGTATGGGACCAGGAGGGGGGGATAATACAGGAGGGGGGATAATACCAGGAGGGGGGATAATACCAGGAGGGGGGGATAATACCAGGAGGGGGGATAATACCAGGAGGGGGGATAATACCAGGAGGGGGGATAATACCAGGAGGGGGGATAATACCAGGAGGGGGGATAATACCAGGAGGGGGGGATAATACCAGGAGGGGGGATAATACCAGGAGGGGGGATAATACCAGGAGGGGGGATAATACCAGGAGGGGGATAATACCAGGAGGGGGGATAATACCAGGAGGGGGGATAATACCAGGAGGGGGGATAATACCAGGGGAGGGGGGATAATACCAGAGAGGGGGGATAATACCAGGAGGGGGGATAATACCAGGAGGGGGGATAATACCAGGGGGGAGGGGGGATAATACCAGGAGGGGGATAATACCAGGAGGGGGGATAATACCAGGAGGGGGGATAATACCAGGAGGGGGGATAATACCAGGAGGGGAGGGGGATAATACCAGGAGGGGGGATAATACCAGGAGGGGGGATAATACCAGGAGGGGGGATAATACCAGGAGGGGGGATAATACCAGGAGGGGGGATAATACCAGGAGGGGGGATAATACCAGGAGGGGGGATAATACCAGGAGGGGGGATAATACCAGGAGGGGGGATAATACCAGGAGGGGGGATAATACCAGGAGGGGGGGATAATACCAGGAGGGGATCGGAATACCAGGAGGGGGGATAATACCAGGGAGGGGGGGATAATACCAGGAGGGGGGATAATACCAGGAGGGGGGATAATACAGGAGGGGGGATAATACCAGGAGGGGGGATAATACCAGGAGAGAGGGGATAATACCAGGAGGGGGGAATAATTACCAGGAGGGGGAATGGGGGGATAATACCAGGAGGGGGGATAATACCAGGAGGGGGGATAATACCAGGAGGGGGGATAATACCAGGAGGGGGGATAATACCAGGAGGGGGGGATAATACCAGGAGGGGGAATGAGGGATAATACCAGGAGGGGGATAACAGAGGGATAATACCAGGAGGGGGGATAATACAGGAGGGGGGATAATACCAGGAGGGGGGATAATACCAGGAGGGGGGATAATACCAGGAGGGGGGATAATACCAGAGGATGGGGGGGATAATACCAGGAGGGGGGGAGGTAATACCAGGAGGGGGGGATAATACCAGGAGGGGGGATAATACCAGGAGGGGGGATAATACCAGGAGGGGGGATAATACCAGGAGGGGGGGATAATACCAAGGGGAGGGGGGATAATACCAGGAGGGGGGATAATACCGAGGGGGGATAATACCAGGAGGGGGGATAATACCAGGAGGGGGGATAATACCAGGAGGGGGGATAATACCAGGAGGGGGGATAATACCAGGAGGGGGGATAATACCGGAGGGGATAACAGGGGGGGATAATACCAGGAGGGGGGATAATACCAGGAGGGGGGATAATACCAGGAGGGGGGATAATACCAGGAGGGGGATAATACCAGGAGGGGGGATAATACCAGGGGGGGGGGATAATACCAGGAGGGGGGATAATACCAGGAGGGGGGATAATACCAGGAGGGGGATAATACCAGGAGGGGGATAATACCAGGGAGGGGGGGATAATACCAGGAGGGGGGATAATACCAGGAGGGGGGATAATACCAGGAGGGGGATAATACCAGGAGGGGGGATAATACCAGGAGGGGGGATAATACCAGGAGGGGGATAATACCAGGAGGGGGATAATACCAGGAGGGGGATAATACCAGGAGGGGGATAATACCAGGAGGGGGGATAATACCAGGAGGGGGATAATACCAGGAGGGGGATAATACAGGAGGGGGATAATACCAGGAGGGGGATAATACCAGGAGGGGGATAATACCAGGAGGGGGATAATACCAGGAGGGGGATAATACAGGAGGGGGGATAATACCAGGAGGGGATAATACCAGGAGGGGGTATAATACCAGAGGGGGGATAATACCAGGAGGGGGATAAATACCAGGAGGGGGATATACCAGGAGGGGATAATACCAGGAGGGTAAATACCAGGAGGGATGATTAAGGAGGGATTATACCAGGAGGTGGATTAATACCAGAGGGGGGATAATACCAGGAGGGGGATAATACCAGGAGGGGGATAATACAGGAGGGGATAATACAGAAAAGGGTGGTAATACCAGATGGGAGGATAATACAAGGAAATACAGAGGGGGTAATACCAGGAGGGAATAATCCAGGAGGGGGGTAATACAGGAGGCAGAAGTGATGAAGATGTTGTGCTTTCACAATTTTTAGGATTTACTACAAGCGTAATGTGAGTACTGTTTGGAAAAACCGACAGGTTGATAAAGGAGGCACTTGTGCAACATTTGAGTACCTCTATTCTGAAAACGTTTCGCCATCCAGTGGCCTCTTCAGTCCAATACATAGAAAGGTGAAAGATGAGGAGGACTTTTAGGTAATCAGTTCCTCAGCCAGCAGGCTTATTTACTCATGTGCAACCTTATTAACTCGTGTGTAAGTCACACTCAACTCCAACCCCTCTCACTCATGTATTTATCTAACCTATATTTGAAGCTACTCAAGCTTATAGCTTCAGTGATCCTACTAAGTAGATAAATACATGAGTGGGAGGATTTGGACAGAAGTTAAAACGATTATAATAGGTGTCTCATTTATCAGCAAGACTGTAAATTGACAGATGTAGGCGACACACAGTTATTTGAAAAAAAAATTGACTGGCCTATAAATCATAGGTCGGTGTCACTGGCAAGTGTTGTAAAAATATTGGAAAAAGCTATTAGAGATAAGTGGATAAATACTTCAAATTTATTAAATTATTGCGACTGACACGAAAATTATTCAAGAAAGAAGTGGATGGCTAGATTGTAATTTTTTAGACGTTAGGAAAAATTGTTCAAGAAGGAAATGGATGCCTAGATTGTAATTTTTCCAGACTTTAAAAAAAATTGTGATAGAATTCCCCATCAAAAGCCAGTTTGGAAACTAATATAGGAGGAATAGAAGACAAACTATAACAGTGAATGAGAGACTCTTGAGTGTTGAAGGAAACGTCTCAGCACCAACAAGAGTGACAACAAGAAGCCACTGAGGTTAACTGAAGGAAAAATAGTGGAGTTGAAGGGAGAGAGAAGAGATACAATGATTTAAAAGAAGAAGCACTGCTAAAAACCATAGGAAATATAACAAAAAATAAATGATGAAATATTTAATAAACTGAGCACGACGAGCACAGCTCTGCATCTGTAGCTGCGGGAAGGTAAAACACACACACACACACACACACACACACACACACACACACACACCTACCACTAATCACCAATTACATATAATCACAAAATAATCCTATAGGGTGGTAAACTAGCGACTCTGGTTATCAAAAAGTCTATCAGGCTTATGTACACTAGGATATGTTAAGGCGATATGTCCTTAATGGAAGCTTAGTGCCCGGGGATGACCTCCGAGAGGTCATAGGTCATCAGGGCGTGGACTCAGCAGCTCACAGGCTGTTGCTAGCTCTGGGGATCATGAGAGGTCATATCAGAGGTCAACAGATGTAATTTCAGACGTCAAGAGTTCAGGAAATATAATTACAGAGGTCACGAGGTCAGGAGAGGTAATACAGAGGTCAGCAGAGGTTATCACATAGGTCAGGAGAGGTAATTATAGAGATCAACAGAGGTTATTACCCAGGAGACAAGAGAAGGTCAGGAGAGGTAATTCTAGAGGTCAGTAGAGGTTATCACAGGTCAGGAGAGGTGATTATAGGGATCAAGAGAGGTTATCACAGGTTAGGGGGCAAGAGGAGGTCAGAAGAGATAATTATAGAGGTCAAGAGAGGCTATCACACAGGTCACCAAGCAAGAGTAGGTGAGGAGAGGTAAAACAGAGGTCAGATAAGGTCACTACAGCATGTCAGCGGGGGACTGGTGGCCACTGTGAGTTAGCAGAGCACGGTTGAGCACGGCCTCCGTGCTCGCTGTACGGCCGTGCACCAGCCATACCGCAGCTGCGGCCGCCCACACGCCACATGCGACGCTGAGGGCGGTAAGAGGCAGGTGTAGCAGCAGCACTATGTTGGTCAGGATGGCCAGCAGTGGCAAGAGAGGGGCGGCATCCTGCTGGGTGGCGGCGGGCGGCGGTGGGTGGCGCGGCTGTAGCCACAGTCCCACCCCGCACACCACACATCCACACACGCACAGTGCTACCCCCGCCCACGCCCACAGGCCTATGTCTAGCTCCTTGGCCCCACGGACCACGCCCACCCCTGCCACGCAGTTGACAACGAAGGTGGCCATGAGGAACCTAGCGGTCCGCCATGACACCCACGTGGGCGGCATGGGCGGCTCGAAGATGGCGGAGACCCAGGTGCCCGCCGCCCACTCTACCGTCACCTGGCGGGGTTCTGTATCGTCGAAAGCGGCCAGGTAGTCGGTGTGGGCGGTGTGGGCGGCGGGTGCCAGCTCCGTCAGGTCAGCCAGACTACTTGCGCTACGGGAGAGGATTGGCGGCGTGTCGCATCCCGCCGTTGCCTCTAGCGGATAACGGGCGCCTTGCGGGCGGTACCGGCGGGCCAACACAGCAGCCGCCCCCGCCACCCCAGCACTCACACCTCCCGCCCCTGCCGCCCGCAGCAGCACCCACGACGAGCATACTGCGGCTACGACTGCGGCAGCGGTGCCGCAAAAGAGTGCCGCGACCCAGGGAGTCTCCGTGCGACGTGACACTCGACCCAGGCACCGCGGAGCCAGACCGTCGCAGGCCAGGCGGTGAGCCAGACGTGAGCCGGCCATCAGGCCGCCCATAATACTCGCCCACAGCCCCACTACCCCGCCCACCACCACTAGGGCACGCATACCCAGCAGTGACGCCCCCGGGAAGAGCTGCGTCAGGGGCGCAGTGGAGGACATACTGGAGGAGGACAAGGTAGCTGCTACGGCCAGGGGAAACAGCAACAGTAGCGCAGCTGCGCCTACGCCCACACCCACGCAGGTGACAACGCTGGCGTACCGCCCACACTCGCCGGAGAGCAGCCCGGCATGGTGTGCACCGCCCACACTAACACTGAGCACGGCGGCGCCGCCCACAACCTGGAAAGGCAGACACTGCTTGAACACCTGTAGTTGCCAACCTGGGGAGGCAGACACTGCTTCAACACCTGTAGTTGTCAACCTGGGGAGGCAGACACTGCTTCAACACCTGTAGTTGTCAACCTGGGGAGGCAGACACTGCTTCAACACCTGTAGTTGTCAACCTGGGGAAGCAGACACTGCTTCAACACCTGTAGTTGTCAACCTGGGGAAGCAGACACTGCTTCAACACCTGTAGTTGTCAACCTGGGGAGGCAAACATTTCTTCAACACCTGTAGTTGTCATCCTGGGGAAGCAGACACTGCTTCAACACCTGTAGTTGTCATCCTGGGTGACAAGAACAGCTTCAACACCTGTAGTTGTCAACCTGGGGTGACAAGAACAGCTTCAACACCTGTAGTTGTCAACCTGGGGTGACAAGAACAGCTTCAACACCTGTAGTTGTCAACCTGGAAAGGCAAACATTTCTTCAACACCTGTAGTTGTCAACCTGGGGAAGCAGACACTGCTTCAACACCTGTAGTTGTCAACCTGGAAAGGCAAACATTTCTTCAACACCTGTAGTTGTCAACCTGGGGAAGCAGACACTGCTTCAACACCTGTAGTTGTCAACCTGGGGAAGCAGACACTGCTTCAACACCTGTAGTTGTCAACCTGGGGAGGCAAACATTTCTTCAAACCCTGTAGTTGTCAACCTGGGGAAGCAGACACTGCTTCAACACCTGTAGTTGTCAACCTGGGGAGGCAAACATTTCTTCAACACCTGTAGTTGTCAACCTGGGGAAGCAGACACTGCTTCAACACCTGTAGTTGTCAACCTGGGGAAGCAGACACTGCTTCAACACCTGTAGTTGTCAACCTGGGGAGGCAAACATTTCTTCAACACCTGTAGTTGTCAACCTGGGGAAGCAGACACTGCTTCAACACCTGTAGTTGTCAACCTGGGGAGGCAAACATTTCTTCAACACCTGTAGTTGTCAACCTGGGGAAGCAGACACTGCTTCAACACCTGTAGTTGTCAACCTGGGGAGGCAAACATTTCTTCAACACCTGTAGTTGTCAACCTGGGGAAGCAGACACTGCTTCAACACCTGTAGTTGTCATCCTGGAGAGGCAAACACTGTTTCAGCACCTGCAGATATCATCCTGGGGGAGTTTAACACCGGTTCAACACCTGCACATATCATCCTGGGGGAGTTAAACACTGGTTCAACACCTACAGATATCATCCTGGGGGAGTTAAACACTGGTTCAACACCTACAGATATCATATACAAATAACCCGGTATTATATACCATTCTTGTACTACTACTACTACTACTACTACCACCACCTATTCCTGCCTATATATAGCCGTCCTGCTCCACTTCTGGTTAGTGTGGTCCAAGTCGGACCGAAACGTCGTCGTAAGCTTCTCTCTTTTATGTGCGGGTTATTTGTGTATCGTTCCAGTCACGGTATTGTGCCTTTTTTTGTTATTTATCTTCAGATATCATTCTGGGGGAGTTAAACACTGGTTCAACACCTACAGATATCATTCTGGGGGAGTTAAACACTGGTTCAACACCTACATATATCATTCTGGGGGAGTTAAACACTGGTTCAACACCTACAGATATCATTCTGGGGGAGTTAAACACTGGTTCAACACCTACAGATATCATTCTGGGGGAGTTAAACACTGGTTCAACACCTACAGATATCATTCTGGGGAAGTTAAACACTGGTTCAACACCTACAGATATCATTCTGGGGAAGTTAAACACTGGTTCAACACCTACAGATATCATTCTGGGAAGTTAAACACTGGTTCAACACCTACAGATATCATTCTGGGGAAGTTAAACACTGGTTCAACACCTACAGATATCATTCTGGGGAGTTAAACACTGGTTCAACACCTACAGATATCATTCTGGGGAGTTAAAACACTGGTTCAACACCTACAGATATCATTCTGGGGAGTTAAACACTGGTTCAACACCTACAGATATCATTCTGGGGAGTTAAAACACTGGTTCAACACCTACAGATATCATTCTGGGGAGTTAAACACTGGTTCAACACCTACAGATATCATTCTGGGGAGTTAAACACTGGTTCAACACATACAGATATCATTCTGGGGAGTTAAAACACTGGTTCAACACCTACAGATATCATTCTGGGGAGTTAAACACTGGTTCAACACCTACAGATATCATTCTGGGGAGTTAAAACACTGGTTCAACACCTACAGATATCATTCTGGGGAGTTAAAACACTGGTTCAACACCTACAGATATCATTCTGGGGAGTTAAACACTGGTTCAACACATACAGATATCATTCTGGGGAGTTAAAACACTGGTTCAACACATACAGATATCATTCTGGGGAGTTAAACACTGGTTCAACACATACAGATATCATTCTGGGGAGTTAAAACACTGGTTCAACACCTACAGATATCATTCTGGGGAGTTAAACACTGGTTCAACACCTACAGATATCATTCTGGGGAGTTAAAACACTGGTTCAACACCTACAGATATCATTCTGGGGAGTTAAAACACTGGTTCAACACCTACAGATATCATTCTGGGGAGTTAAACACTGGCTCAACACATACAGATATCATTCTGGGGAGTTAAAACACTGGTTCAACACCTACAGATATCATTCTGGGGAGTTAAAACACTGGTTCAACACCTACAGATATCATTCTGGGGAGTTAAACACTGGTTCAACACATACAGATATCATTCTGGGGAGTTAAAACACTGGTTCAACACATACAGATATCATTCTGGGGAGTTAAACACTGGTTCAACACATACAGATATCATCCCTCAACTACCTACAGATATTTAACTCTTACATTTCTGAACAGTATCCATTCAGTAAGTAATCACATTCAAATGTTAAATTATAATCATACATGTTAGTTAATTATTAATAATTATGAAGGGAGGAAAATTTAATAACACCATAATATCATAGCTTAAATTATCAGGAATTGCTGAGATTATTACATTAATTAAAACTTTCTTCACACAAGCGGGTTTGAGGTGTAATTATCTTAAGTTACACAGGTGTGGCTGATTACGCAGGTGGGACTATTTACATAGGTGTGGCTAATTTCATACGTGTGGCTTATTACGCAGGTCTGGCTAATTTAATAGATGTGGCTGATGACACAGGTGTGGCTAATTTCGTAGGTGTGGTTGATTACCCAGGTAGGACTGATTATGTAGGTGTGGTTGATTATACGGGTGTGGCTAATTACCTAGGTGTGGCTGATTACACAGGTGTGGCTAATTAAGTGGGTGGGGCAGAGAGCGAACTCAGACAAGCCGGATAATTCACGAGTTTATTGGTTAACATTAACCAACCCCAGAGAGGCACCTAATATAGAGGGAAATTATTGAGCAGCAGGTGAACAAGATGGCATATTGTACAGGTGGCTAGGTGGTACAACCCCTCAGGCGGGAGTGGATGATGTGGGTGGCTAGGTGGTACATCCCCTCAGGTGGGAGTGGATGATGTGGGTGGCTAGGTGGTACATTCCCTCAGGTGGGAGTGGATGATGTAGGTGGCTAGGTGGTGCATTCCCTCAGGTGGGAGTGGATGATGTAGGTGGCTAGGTGGTACAACCCCTCAGGTGGGAGTGGATGATGTAGGTGGCTAGGTGGTACAACCCCTCAGGTGGGAGTGGATGATGTGGGTGGCTAGGTGGTGCATTCCCTCAGGTGGGAGTGGATGATGTAGGTGGCTAGGTGGTGCATTCCCTCAGGTGGGAGTGGATGATGTAGGTGGCTAGGTGGTACAACCCCTCAGGTGGGAGTGGATGATGTGGGTGGCTAGGTGGTACATCCCCTCAGGTGGGAGTGGATGATGTAGGTGGCTAGGTGGTGCATTCCCTCAGGTGGGAGTGGATGATGTAGGTGGCTAGGTGGTACAACCCCTCAGGTGGGAGTGGATGATATAGATGGCTAGGTGGTACATCCCCTCAGGTGGGAGTGGATAATGTAGGTGGCTAGGTGGTGTATCCCCTCAGGTGGGAGTGGATGATGTAGGTGGCTAGGTGGTTCAACACCTCAGGTGGGAGTAGATGATGTAGGTGGCTAGGTGGTTCAACCCCTCAGGTGGGAGTGGATGATGTAGGTGGCTAGGTGGTTCAACCCCTCAGGTGGGAGTGGATGATGTAGGTGGCTAGGTGGTACAACCCCTCAGGTGGGAGTGGATGATGTAGGTGGTATAACCTCTCAGGTGGGAGTGGATGGTAATACCATGGTTGATTGTGATGCCGACAGTATGCAAGACACACAAACCGAGTTATGGCATTTTATTGTAAAGACGTTTCGCCCACCAGAAACTTTATCAATTGATGAAGTCCCCGGTGGCCGAAACATCTTCAAAATTCAATGCTACAACCCACTTTGTGTGTCACGTTGTAGTTGATGATGGAGGTGGGGGAGAGTCTTCACTCAAATATCTGTCTATCCTATCATTAAGAGGCGCATAAATTTCCCTGTCTCCTAATACCATGTTCATTTTCCTCTATAATCTACCTTGTCCATTATTACTATCGCATTTGCTTTGTCTGCTTTCGTAAGGTGAAGTCTAGCATCTTTCCTTAATTCTTGGTATAACTTAACAAATCTTTGATGACAGTTGTCATCAAAGAAGACAGTGGAACTGATGTACCCCTTAAATTTACCCAAGATTTTGACTTCGGTGACCCTACCCTTTTCATTATAAAATCTTGAGGATACCAGTGTGGGCAGCATCCTATCATAAGATGCGCTACTACGTAGTGATCTTTCGGATATAAAAGGGAAGGGGGTGGGGGATTCGAGTTGTAAACACCTTGCTGTGGTAGGCAGTTTATGAGTAAGACCCGTGTCAGGAGACACTGTGTTTTGTACCTGACTAATTAACCACCACTGATGAATCTGATTAGCAATGCCTATATATTTTTTTAAAGCTATCCCAGCTCTTAGCTTCAGTGACCCTGACAAAGCCCATATATAATTATAAAGCTGTTGGAGTGTGAGTAAAGTAACATTTATGAAGGGATTCAGGGAAATCGGTTAGCCGGACTCGAGTCCTGGAGGTGGGATGTACAGTGACTGCGCTCTGAACGAGAGGTGTTAATGTTGCAGTGTTGGAACTGTAGTGTAGGCACACCTCTGGCAGTACAGTGGTGAACTGAGTGATGAAGAAAGTGTTTCCTCTTTTTCGGGTCACCTTGCCTCGGTGGGAAACTGCCAATGTGTTAATAAAACTTTTTTTAACCCTCCCCCCCCAAGCTCTTAGCTTCAATGACCTTGACAAAGTCTATATATATTGATAAAGCTATTTTTAAAGCTTCATTGGCTCTGCCTGTTATCTACAAGTCTACTGCTGAACCTCTGCTTTCCTTTATCCTATCCAAGTCTACATTTTTTTCAGTTTGAATCCATTATTGTACGAGGAACGTGAGGAATCTTACCCAGTTGTTGCAGGACATTTACGAGTTCACAACTTCCCTCTTAATGTAATATTGACAGCTTAAGCGTTACTGTAATATTGACAGCTTTAGCGTTACTGTAATATTGACAGCTTAAGCGTTACTGTAATATTGACAGCTTAAGCGTTACTGTAATATTGACAGCTTAAGCGTTACTGTAATATTGACAGCTTAAGCGTTACTGTAATATTGACAGCTTATGCGTTACTGTAATATTAAAGACCTAAATACTAATAAAATATTACCACTTAAGCATTAACATAAGGTTGACCACTTAAATATTAATATAGTATTGACCACCTAAATATTTATATCATATTGACCACTTAAATATTAACGTTTAAGGGGTTAAATTGCACAAATATAGAACTAAATAAGTGAAATTGAATCTTTGTTTCATTTCACATTTAAGTGAGGCGGTAAAACCGTATGGGTCGTTCAGTATCGTGGTTGAGGCTCGATGCTTCTTCCAGTAATCGCTTTACTCAACACAGTGGTGCAAATGCCACCTGGACAACATTGGTTCGAGCCCGCTTGACTTACCCCGTGGAGGCCGTGAGGGAAGAAACCCGGTGGGTGGGTCCAGTGGTGGGCGTCAGCACTGAGGAGGGCGGTGAAGGCAACTGCTGTCAGCACCAGCACTGACACGCCCACGCCCGCAGCACCCACCTGACACACCAGCTGAAAGAAGTGGGCGGGGTGAGCAGCCGATGTACTCACCTATTTGTGATTGCAGGAGTCGAGTCTTAGCTCCTGGCCCCGATGTGTGTGTGTGTGTGTGTGTGCTGATATTCACAGCTCTTGGCCCCGTGTGTGTGTGTTCAGATTCACAGCTCCTTACCCCGTGTGTGTAGTCACCTAGTTGTACTCACCTAGTTGAGGTTGCAGGGGTCGATTCCAAGCTCCTGGCCCCGCCTCTTCACTGGTCGCTACTAGGTCACTTTCCCTGAACCGTGAGCTTTATCATACCTCTGATTAAAGCTGTGTATGGATCCTGCCTCCACTACATCGCTTCCCAAACTATTCCACTTCCTGACTACTCTGTGGCTGAAGAAATACTTCCTAACATCCCTGTGATTCATCTGTGTCTTCAACTTCCAACTGTGTCCCCTTGTTGCTGTGTCCCATCTCTGGAACATTCTGTCTTTGTCCACCTTGTCAATTCCTCTCAGTATTTTGTATATCGTTATCATGTCCCCCCTATCTCTCCTGTCCTCCAGTGTCGTCAGGTTGATCTCCCTTAACCTCTCCTCGTAGGACATACCTCTTAGCTCTGGGACTAGTCTTATTGCAAACCTTTGCACATTCTCTAGTTTCTTCACGTGCTTGGCTAGGTGTGGGTTCCAAACTGGTGCCGCATACTCCAATATGGGCCTAACGTACACGGTGTACAGGGTCCTGAACGATTCCTTATTAAGATGTCGGAATGCTGTTCTGAGGTTTGCTAGGCGCCCATATACTGCAGCAGTTATTTGGTTGATGTGCGCTTCAGGAGATGTGCCTGGTGTTATACTCACCCCAAGATCTTTTTCCTTGAGTGAGGTTTGTAGTCTCTGGCCCCCTAGACTGTACTCCATCTGCGGTCTTCTTTGCCCTTCCCCAATCTTCGTGACTTTGCACTTGGTGGGGTTGAACTCCAGTAGCCAATTGCTGGACCAGGTCTGCAGCCTGTCCAGATCCCTTTGTAGTTCTGCCTGGTCTTCGATCGAATGAATTCTTCTCATCAACTTCACGTCATCTGCAAACAGGAACACTTCGGATTCTGTTCCTTCCGTCATGATGTTCACAAATACCAGAAACAGCACTGGTCCTAGGACTGACCCCTGCGGGACCCCGCTGATCACAGGTGCCCACTCTGACACCTCGCCACGTACCATGACTCGCTGCTGTCTTCCTGACAAGTATTCCCTGATCCATTGTAGTGTCTTCCTTGTTATCCCTGCTTGGTCCTCCAGTTTTTGCACTAATCTCTTGTGTGGAACTGTGTCAAACGCCTTCTTGCAGTCCAAGAAAATACAATCCACCCACCCCTCTCTCTCTTGCCTTACTGCTGTCACCATGTCATAGAACTCCAGTAGGTTTGTGACACAGGATTTCCCGTCCCTGAAATCATGTTGGCTGCTGTTGATGAGATCTTTCCTTTCTAGGTGTTCCACCACTCTTCTCCTGATAATCTTCTCCATGACTTTGCATACTATACATGTTAGTGACACTGGTCTCTAGTTTAGTGCTTCATGTCTGTCTCCTTTTTTAAAGATTGGGACTACATTTGCTGTCTTCTATGCCTCAGGCAATCTCGCTGTTTCGATAGATGTATTGAATATTGTTGTTAGGGGTACACATAGCGCCTCTGCTCCCTCTCGCAGGACCCATGGAGAGATGTTATCCGGCCCCATTGCCTTTGAGGTATCTAGCTCACTGAGAAGCCTCTTCACTTCTTCCTCGGTTGTGTGTACTGTGTCCAGCACTTGGTGGTGTACCCCACCTCTCCGTCTTTCTGGAGCCCCTTCTGTCTCCTCTGTGAACACTTCTTTAAATCTCTTGTTGTACGTGTATGTGTGTGTGTGTGTGTGTGTGTGTGTGTGTGTGTGTGTGTGTGTGTGTGTGTGTGTGTGTGTGTGTTTGTGTATGTGTGTATATGTGTGGGTGAACATATTTTTTTACACACGATATAAACATATATTATATATATATATATATATATATATATATATATATATATATATATATATTATATATATATATATATATATATATATATATATATATATATGTCGTGCCGAATATGTAAAACTGGTCACTTAGCAAGAACTCATTTAAAATTAAGTCCTTTCTAAAATTTTCTCTTATACGTTTAAAGATATATTTTTTCATTTATGTTAATGTAAAAAAATTTTATTTTGCACCAAAAGAATCTTAGAAAACTTACCTAACCTTATTATAACAAGAACAATTTATTTTAGCCTAACCAAACTAAATATATTTTAGATTTGTTTACAATAATTTAATACTAAACAAACACAGTGAAATATATTTTTTTTCGTTAGGTTCAGAATGATTTTGGCGAAATTATTGCATACACAAATTTTCGCTTGTCCTATATGGCAAGATGAGCGTTGCTATTTAAGCCAAGATGGCAAGTTCTGCCTATTCGGCCGCCCAGAGAGGTACTACCGTTCTTCGAAGTGAGTGTAAAACGAAAGCCTGTATTTGTTTTACATGATGGTAGGATTGCTGGTGTCTTTTGTCTGTCTCATAAATATGCAAGATTTCAGGTACGTCTTGCTACTTCTACTTACACTTAGGTCACACTACACATACATGTACAAGCATATATGTATATACACCCCTCTGGGTTTTCTTTTATTTTCTTTCTAGTTCTTGTTCTTGTTTATTTCCTCTTATCTCCATGGGGAAGTGGAACAGAATTCTTTCTCCGTAAGCCATGCGTGTTGTAAGAGGCGACTAAAATGCCAGGAGCAAGGGGCTAGTAACCCCTTCTCCTGTATATATTACTAAATGTAAAAGGAGAAACTTATGTTTTTCCTTTTGGGCCACCCCGCCTCGGTGGGATACTGCCGGTGTGTTGAAAGATATATATATATATATATATATATATATATATATATATTAATATATATATATATATATATTGTTTTATATTATTGAACTTGCCTTACAAGGTTTACTTTATTAAACTTACAAACTTTTACTATGTCTTAGTGAGTTTATCTCTGAATCTTAATAATTATTGAGTCTATATATAATACCTTACCATATTGATCCTTCTCCCTCCTCTTCTAAACATTCATTACTTAGTAACCGTAACTGTGCTCTTTAAACAGGTGCCTTAGCTTATTTTCCTCGTTACGTTAATGTCTTACACAGGCGCGTTGCCTTAGGGTAATTAATCTTTAACTCAGGTGTATCATTTCTGCAGATTACTTTAATAACCTGCCCTAATGTCCTCAGTATTATTTTTTCATGTCTTGATGAGCAATACTTAATTACTGTATGTACTTTCCTTACAAGGATTTACCTTGTCCTAGTGGTCTTACCTTGTGCTAGTGATCTTACCTTGTCCTAGTGGTTTTACCTTGTACTAATGGTCTCACCTTATGCTAGTGGTCTCACCTTATGCTAGTGGTCTCACCTTGCGCTAGTGGTCTCACCTTGCACTAGTGGTCTTACCTTGTGCTAGTGGTCTCACCTTATGCTAGTGGTCTTACCTTATGCTAGTGGTCTCAACCTTGCGCTAGTGGTCTCACCTTGCGCTAGTGGTCTCACCTTGCGCTAGGGGTCTCACCTTGCGCTAGTGGTCTCACCTTACGCTAATAGTCTTACCTTGTGCTAGTGGTCTGACCTTGTCCTAGTAGTCTTACCTTGCCAGTATGGTCTTATGTTGTGATCTTATTTTAGTGGTCTTACCTTAGTGCCAGCGAGGACCATGAGTGTAGAGAGTATGAGCAGTGCCGCGGCCACCAAGTCAGGTTGGGGTGCCAGGTAGCGGCACTCCTGCGAGAGAGGCAGTCTTACGTGCAGTGCCTCACTCATCCACCTCTCCGTCACCAGACCCACGTACTCACTGCTACCCCGAGCCGCTGTCAGGGCAGGCACCATGAGTCAGGGTAAGTTAGTAGGGTGCAAGAATGAGTATGGGAGTGTAGGGATGAGTACGGGAGTGTCAGTGAATGAAGGAATGAGTGAATGTAGAGATGAGTGAGAGAGTGTAGGAATGAGTGCGGGAGTGTAGGGATGAGTAAAGGAGTGTAGGTATGAGCAAAGAAATGTCAGTGAATGTAGGAATGAGTGTAGGGATGAGTGAGAGAATGTAGGAATGAGTGAGGGAGTGTAGGGATGAGTAAGGGAGTGTTAGGAAGTGTAGGGACGAGTAATGGAATGTAGGGACGAGTAATTGAGTGTAGGGATGAGTAATTGAGTGTAGGGATGAGTAAGATAGGGTGAGCGAATAATAATTTTTCGTTTTCACTTTCAAATTTATGTAGCGATATCATTACTGCCACATATATTATTATTATTATTATTATTATTATTATTATTATTTCATTTAAATATCTTACTAAATCTATAATGTTTAACATGACATATGTGTATATATATATATATATATATATATATATATATATATATATATATATATATATATATATATATATATATATATATATATGTCGTGCCGAATATGTAAAACTGGTCAATTAGCAAGAACTCATTTAAAATTAAGTCCTTTCCAAAATTTTCTCTTATACGTTTAAAGATATATTTTTTTCATTAATGTTCATGTAAAAATTTATAATTTTGCACCAAAAGGAACTTAGAAAACTTACCTAACCTTATTATAACAAGTGAAATTTATTTTAGCCTAACCCAACTAAATATATTTTAAATACGTTTACAATAATTTTATACTAAACGAACGCAGTGAAATATATTTATTTTGTTAGGTTCAAGATGATTTTTGTGAAATTATTGCATACACAAATTTTCGCTTGTCTTATATGGCAAGATGAACGTTGCTATTTAAACCAAGATCGCAAGTTTTACATATTCGGCACGACATATATATATATATATATATATATATATATATATATATATATATATATATATATATATATATATATATATTATATATATATATATATATATATATATGCAAAACAACCACTCTGAAAGAATAGAGAAATTCCAAGCGCTTTCGTGACTACTCACATTATCATAGTTCCTTGATAATGTGAGTAGTCACGAAAGCGCTTGGAATTTCTCTATTCTTTCGAGTGGTTGTGTTTTGCATATTTCGAAAAATACCTGTTTTACTGTGATCTTATTGCATATATATATATATATATATATATATATATATATATATATATATATATATATATATATATATATATATATATATATATATATATATATATATATATATATATATATATGCACTGCAAAAACCATATACTTCTTGTGTACTTGAACTTTGGGTAAGGAGTAAAGTTAACTACTTTATACGTGAAAAGGATTAATGTTATTAGTTAATTAGCATGACTACACAGATCGACTAACCTGCCCCACAGGTCGACTAACCCGCCCCACAGGTCGACTAACCCGTCCCACAGGTCGACTTACCTATAGCGGGTATGAGGATGAGGTCAAGCATCAGTGTTGACGCCACCAGGGTGGCCGGCAGCTCTCCCAGAGTGGCGTATACTTGCGTAAATATGCCGCCCCCACGCGGCATACGCAAGCCCAGCTCCGCGCACACCGCCCCTGGCGAGGTGAGAAAGAGAATTAGAGATAAAGAAACAAGAATGGGAAGGAGAGAAAGAAGGAAATGGGCATTATATGAACGGTGATTTAGATTCAAGTCTTTTTGTGAAACCTGGTTTCAGACACGTGCCTAGGTAAAATTTGGTTTTAGACACTTGTGTCTGTGTGAAACCTGGGTTTAAACGCGTGTGTGGGTAGAAATCAAAATTAGGCCACGAGATTCTCTCTTTTTTTATACTAAATGTATTAGAGAGAGAGAGAGAGAGAGAAGTTATAATTAATAAAAAACTATCACCAGAGGATCGTATATACGAAATTGTGAGAGAGTTATATTCTACACTGACGAGTTATTAAATAACTTTCAGATATCAGAATAGAGAAATGTTAAGAAATCGTGTTTACAAGATATATTATGAAAAATAATATACAGCAGGTCTGGGATACCCACACCTAAAATATGTATGGATAAGTTAGAAAATGTTGAAAGAACTGCTATATAGGTGAATACAAATAGGAAACGGGAGCGTATCGCGCTCAGCAGACGGAGGATCAAGGCTCCACTACGTCTTAACCTGCATGACCCAACATTATCATCAAAGAAGACCTACAAAATGGCTACTAAATTAAATAAAAAGGTATGATTTAAAATGTTAGGTTGTAAACAGTAAAGATGTCCAAGCTGTCTAAGAGGAAGAAAAGAGGAAACATGATAACATAGAGGCTAATAAAGAGAGATAAAATAACAGAAGACGAAGACTTGTTAGTTCGTACAAGAAGGATATTATTATTATTATTATTATTATTATTATTATTATTATTATTTATTATCAAGGGGGAGCGCTAAACCCGTAGGGTTATGCAGTGCCTGTGTAAAATATTCAGGCTTAATTCAGGGAACTGGAGCACAGATCCAATTCCCTAGATCAAGAGCCCCTCACCAACGTCAAGGAACCTTCCTTGATGGGACAAGAGGGATAACAAGAATATAGTAGTGAAGCGAGGAGAGAGCGGAGTCGAAGAGAAACTAAAATAAATTCTTAGCAAGGTGGGCAGTAGACTAGTGCAATAATTGTAAAGAAGAAGCAGGAAGTGAAACAACATTTGAAATTTTAATAACTTATGTACAAGCAACAGATTACTGCAGACGGGACACCACGAACATAACTCAGCTGTTGTTGCTAAAACAAAGGTCATTACATACACTCACTCTCACTCTCTCTCACTCTCTCTCACTCTCTCTCACTCTCTCACTCTCTCTCTCTCTCTCTCTCTCTCTCTCTCTCTCTCTCTCTCTCTCTCTCTCTCTCTCTCTCTCTCTCTCTCTCTCTCTCTCTCTCTCTCTCTCTCTCACACACACACACACACACACTTGCAACAATTCAGACAAATGCCTGGATTACACCATGAAAAATGTCCACATAAACAGCGGTGACAGAGGTCATCCATTATGTTAATATAACACTGTTTCAGCGCCGCTGCCTCATTCTTCTATATTTCAGTGTTTTCACACAAATTTCAAATTTGAACTACAATTTGCATATACATAGCAAAATTTATATTATAATGTTATAAGGTAGGAAAATACATAAATTATTATTATTATATATATATATATATATATATATATATATATATATATATATATATATATATATATATATATATATATATATATATATATATATATGTCGTGCCGAATATGTAAAACTGGTCAATTAGCAAGAACTCATTTAAAATTAAGTACTTTCTAAAATTTTCTCTTATTCGTTTAATGATATATTTTTTTCATTAATGTTAATGTAAAATTTTTTAATTTTGCACCAAAAGAATCTTAGAAAACTTACCTAACCTTATGATAACAAGAGCAATTTATTATAGCCTAACCCAACTAAATATATTTTAGATTTGTTTACAATAATTTAATACTAAACAAACACAGTGAAATATATATTTTTCGTTAGGCTCAGAGTGATTTTGGAGAAATTATTCCATATACAAATTTTCGCTTGTCCTATATGGCAAGATGAGCGTTGCTATTTAAGCCAAGATCGCAAGTTCTGCCTATTCGGGACGACATATTTGTATATATATATATATATATATATATAATAAATAATATATATTATTATATATATATATATATTATATATATATATATATATATATATATATATATATATATACACACACACATAGTAAGTTGTTCATCCACACTGGTTCATTGTTTAACACTGTGCCAGATATACAGAGCCAGGCACTACGAGCCGGAAACACGGAGACAGACTCGCAGGGGAGGATATATGTAGCCAGACACACATACATGTACACATAAAGTTAGATATATTGACACATACACACACTTCCAATATCGAGGATCTTGTCGGAGGTGTTCAACAACCACTGAGAGGCACACCAGTGAGATGGATGGTGGTGGTAATGGTGATAATGGTAGTGTTGGTGGTGGTGGTGATGGTAGTGGGGATGGTAATGGTGGTGGTAGTTGTGGTGACAATTCGGAGGGGACAGGAGCTAGAGCTTCCACTGCCTGTTGGTTGTTACTGACCATCACACTCCCTCACCATCCTGGTTACTGAATGCTTGTGATTCCTTAATGGTGCATATATAATTAATATATATATATATATATATATATATATAATATATATTTATATATTTTATATATATATATATATATAAAGTTTTTCTTCTTTTTTTTTAGTAAATGTCTACAGGAGAAGGGGTTACTAGCCCATTGCTCCCGGCATTTTAGTCGCCTCATACGACACGCATGGCTTACGGAGGAAAGATTCTTTTCCACTTCCCCATGGACAATAGAAGAAATAAAGAAAAACAAGAGCTATTTAGAAAAAGGAGAAAAACCTAGATGTATGTAATATATATATATATATGCATGTGCGTGTCTGTGAAGTGTGACCAAAGTGTAAGTAGGAGTAGCAAGATATCCCTGTTATCTAACGTGTTTATGAGACAGAAAAAGAAACCAGCAATCCTACCATCATGCAAAACAGTTACAGGTTTCTGTTTCACAGTCATCTGGCAGGACGGTAGTACTTCCCTGGGTGGTTGCTGTCTACCTTGGGGTCGGCCTAGGAAAGGTTGGAGGGAGGGGGTAAAGGAGGTTTTGTGTGCGAGGGGCTTGGACTACCAGCAGGCATGCGTGACCGTGTTTGATAGGAGTGAATGGAGACAAATGGTTTTTAATACTTGACGTGCTGTTGGAGTGTGAGCAAAGTAACATTTATGAAGGGGTTCAGGGAAACCTGCAGGCCAGACTTGAGTCCTGGAGATGGGAAGTACAGTGCCTGCACTCTGAAGGAGGGATGTTAATGTTGCAGTTTAAAAACTGTAGTGTAAAGCACCCTTCTGGCAAGACAGTGATGGAGTGAATGATGGTGAAAGTTTTTCTTTTTCGGGCCACCCTGCCTTGGTGTGAATCGGCCAGTGTGATAATAAAGAAATAATATATATATATATATATATATATATATATATTATATATATATATATATATATATATATATATATATATATATATATTTATTTTTCAACAAGTCGGCCGTCTCCCACCGAGGCAGGGTGACCCAAAAAAAAGAAAGAAAATCCCCAAAAAGAAAATACTTTCATCATCATTCAACACTTTCACCACACTCGCACATTATCACTGTTTTTGCAGAGGTACTCAGAATACAACAGTTTAGAAGCATACACATATAAAGATACACAACATATCCCTCCAAACTGCCAATATCCCAAACCCCTCCTTTAAAGTGCAGGCATTGTACTTCCTATTTCCAGGACTCAAGTCCGACTATATGAAAATAACCGGTTTCCCTGAATCCCTTCACTAAATATTACCCTGCTCACACTCCAACAGATCGTCAGGTCCCAAGTACCATTTGTCTCCATTCACTCCTATCTAACACGCTCACGCACGCTTGCTGGAAGTCCAAGCCCCTTGCCCACAAAACCTCCTTTACCCCCTCTCTCCAACCCTTTCGAGGACGACCCCTACTCCGCCTTCCTTCCCCTGTAGATTTATATGCTTTCCATGTCATTCTACTTTGATCCATTCTCTAAATGACCAAACCACCTCAACAACCCCTCTTTTGCCCTCTGACTAATACTTTTATTAACTCCACACCTTTTCCTAATTTCCACACTCCGAATTTTCTGCATAATATTTACACCACACATTGCCCTTAAACAGGACATCTCCACTGCCTCCAACCGTCTCCTCGCTGCTGCATTTACCACCCAAGCTTCACACCCATATAAGAGTGTTGGTACTACTATACTTTCATACATTCCCTTCTTTGCCTCCATAGATAACGTTTTTTGACTCCACATATACCTCAACGCACCACTCACCTTTTTTCCCTCATCAATTATATGATTAACATCATCCTTCATAAATCCATCCGCCGACACGTCAACTCCCAAGTATCTGAAAACATTCACTTCTTCCATACTTCTCCTCCCCAATTTTATATCCAATTTTTCTTTATCTAAATCATTTGACACCTTCATCACCTTACTCTTTTCTATGTTCACTTTCAACTTTCTACCTTTACACACATTCCCAAACTCATCCACTAACCTTTGCAGTTTTTCTTTAGAATCTCCCATAAGCACAGTATCATCAGCAAAAAGTAACTGTGTCAATTCCTATTTTGAATTTGATTCCCCAAAATTTAATCCCACCCCTCTCCCGAGCACCCTAGCATTTACTTCTTTTACAACCCCATCTATAAATATATTAAACAACCATGGTGACATTACACATCCCTGTCTAAGACCTACTTTTACCGGGAAGTATTCTCCCTCTCTTCTACACACCCTAACCTGAGCCTCACTATCCTCATAAAAGCTCTTTACAGCATTTAGTAACTTACCACCTATTCCATATACTTGCAACATCTGCCACTTTGCTCCTCTATCCACTCTATCATATGCCTCTTCTAAATCCATAAATGCAATAA